TATAAAATGCATTCGTGTAACCTTCAACTAACTGTCGCCGATTGCAACAATACAGAAAGAAGCTTATCAACATTTCAAAAAATCTGCATGTAACGTACTATATCTCTGACAGCATTGATTTCACTGGTAGTAAAAATACAGGATCGCACAAAATAATGAGAACTCTTGTTTAATAATTAATTTTAGATTACGTTATCTTCAAGTTAGAGATTGAGCAATATAGACTTTTTCTTAATTTTCTGTTTCATTTACTAAAAAAACGAATATTTTAAATGCCATCTGCTAAAGATCGGTATGCATTTTTAGGGATACAATCACCTTACAAAATTTTTCAATATACGAAATGTGCGGAAAAGAAACGTCTCTTTTTCCGTTTTGTAATTTTTTTGAAAATTTAGAAAACATTATTCTTATTTTTTGGTAATTCTATCGAGTACGAAAAGATTTTTTATTGTAATTTTTGAGACTGATAAGAGCTTATTTTCTAAGTCAATTTATTTGTCATATGCAACATTACTGACAAATTAAAATAATCAATTTGGAAAAATTTGGAAAAGAGACAATAAATGGCTTATATTAAAAACTTCTTAATTGCAGTATAGTTGCCAGCTTTTTTAGACAAGAGTTTGTTTGCATGCTCATATTTAAAAGGCAACTTTTCGCGCTTTATATAAACCTGCTACGTGCACATGGGTAGATAAAGCGTTTATTTACTTCCTTTTTCGAGTAACAAAATAGAAACTTTATAGTATTAATTTTGATAATATCAGTCAGATCTATTAGATGGAGTCTTACTTGCATTATTTTACACTAGAAAAGTAATTATAGAAGATGAAATTTCATCTTTTATAATTAGAAAAAATTTAAATATTGAAACTCTATTTACATTATTTATATCTATATTTATATCTATATCTATATCTATATATATATATACTAGCTGCAAGGACCCGCTTCGCTGGATTTTTATTTGTATGTAATATAGTTTTTTTATATATATAAAAGACTGTTTTTCTAAGTAATCTAGAATCTAGCTGCAAGGACCCGCTTCGCTGGGCAAAAAGTAACGATAGTGAAGATTAAGATAATTACATTATAGCTAATCTTATCCGTTTTCACAGAATGCAAGAATTAGGTCCCCCGTTTCCAGACTAATTAGAGAATT